CGGCAGCGGGAGCAGGAGCGGCGAGCAGCGGGAGGCGCGAGCGGCGACAGCGACAGCGGCGAGCAGCGGGATCGGGAGTGGCAGCGGCAACGAGGGTTAGGGTTGGGTTGTCGTTGATATCGGTTTTAGTTGGTTCGATTGAACCAACTAACCACCGGAGACCGAACCAGACCTAAAATCCTGGTTTGGTCACCTGGTTTAAACCAGGCGCTCGGCGCCCGGCGCCTGGGCTCGGGCGAGCGCCCAGGCCGCGCCTCTTTGAAGCACGCTGCCTGGAAGTTTAGCGAGGCGCTCGAGCCTCGCCTCGCCTTGCCCGAGCGCCTAGGCGAGCGCTCGAGCACCTTTTTAAATCGCTGGATGGTCTACGGAGGTATGTGATTATCAAGTCAAAACAAATTTGTATATGTTGGCATAGTTTTATGGTTGACACATGGGTATAAGCTTGTGAACTTTTATTGTATCTTTCTAACGTGGACTGATCTAGTTACCTGTGTTCTCTCTATGTGGAAATAGATTAACATTTATGGTTAAATCCTTAGAAATGTATGAAATTTTAAACGCTGCCATAAAGTTTGCACTTCTATCTTATGTTATTTTATCTCCTGCAATGTTTGCATATTTCTCTTATGTTATTTTTTTGCATATTTCTCTTATTCTTGGTATAATCACTAGAATTTTATAAACCACGAACTTTGATGTCACTTTTATGGTTACATGAAAATTTTAATTGTTGTCTGATGATATTGTTATGACTTATGACTGAGTAGAGATCAAATAGAATTGTTTCTAAACTTGAATTATGTTGATAAACCCAAGAGTCTAGATGTTTTAAATTAAGTAGGTTTAATACTAAATATATGAGATGTATTTTAGTAGAAATAAGAGATGAACTAAAGATATAGTTAGGATGATGAACAAGAACAGTAAGTAAAACTTTTAAGTATCTTGGATTTTTTGTTTGGGACAGACCGATGAAGTTATTGTTCATAGAGTATAAGCTGGACGATACAAATGGACAGAGTTATCAAGAGTATTATTTGATAATTGGTAGCCCTTTGGATTAAATGAAAATTTTGATTATGCTAGTCATGTTTTATAGATTTGTATATTGGGCATTTAAGAAATGATCTGTATAAAAAGTTTGTATAACCAAGATGAGAATGTTGAGGCGAGTGTGTAGAGTTACTAGCGTTGACGGAGCATAAAGTGATGGAGAATCATCTAAGATGGCATCAATATGTTGTAGTCTTGTAGATGCAATGATTAAATGATATAAAACAATTAGTATTAGTGTTGCAAGGAGGTAAAGGAAAATGGCAAGAATACTTTATTAAAAGCTAAATGTTTGAATTTTTTATTTAATCAAAGATATTGATTGTATAGAGCTCAATGACAAAATAATTCATATAGCTGGCCCCAAATAGTTAAGACTTCAGACATTATGGGTTGTTACAAAAAAAATTTTGTGCAAGTTTTTGTGACTGCATAGTGTATTCTGTAATTTTGTCTCATGATGTTTTTATTTTTCATTTTTATTCTATTGTTAAATATTTTTTGATGGGTTGGTCAATTGTAATTATTAGATGCACAATCTTCCATCATGTTTTATTAACAATCTTGCCTTCTCTGCATTATGATTTCCAGTCAAAGAAGATTGTTGGCAACAATTTTGACACTCTTCCTCTGCATGGGCTTGGGAAAGATTATTCCTCAACTTGGTGGAAGGCTCTTGCTGCTCAACTTATAGCTAATGGTATTATTAGTTGGACCTCAGTAATATTTCTTTATTTCTTTGCCTAGAAATGTGATGTCCTTTATCTTCTCTTAATTTCTTGATATTGTTCTAGTCATTTGGCAATCAAGTAAATGAATGTTCTTGATTAGGAAGTTCTTATTTCTTGGTTTTTATGTTACCATGAGCATGTCTATTGATCTTTGTCAGTTCATGTTTGATAATATTTTTCTTAGGCATGCTTAGTAGCATCATAACACCTTCAATGATCAGATTTAAAAATTAGTAATTTTGATCCTCAATATATTGAGGCTTGGATGATTTTGACTCGACTCAAAATATTTAATCAACATGTCCTATTTTATAGTTATTTCATGTTGGCAGTTGCTATTTTGATTTTTTTGTTTTTTTTCTTGCAAAGGATAAGTGGATGCATGCATGTGATTACAAACTGTGAGTCTGGTCGTTAGTGAAGACCATATTACAATCAAGTAAATCAAGTAAATTTGCATCTAACCTTGCCCAGATACTTGGGAGAAAAGATTTTGTTTTTTGTTTACTTAATATATGTTGCTTGATTACCAAACAATATAATGTAACCCAGAATATTTTATGCATGGACATTGTAATTGCATCCTTTTCAAATTTACAAATGTTATATTAATTATGAGCAGAGTTCTAAGTAGTCCAGGGGGTCTGAGATGTATTCTTTGTGTAATGGATGGAGAGCAGCAACTATGAACGTAAACACCTTTGTAGCATCCACTGCAGAGTTTGTCAGTCTTGATAAAGGATAATGTTTAGAAGCAAGGGCGAACAACACACCAGGTTGGGTGTGAAATGAAGCAAATTTTGATGAGTAGGTATGATCATAAGTTACCTAGTCTGATTATCTTGGTCACTGAGAAGGGCCTTCTTAAGTAGAAATGGAAGGCATTACGAAATTTGAGATTGGATTTTTAACATTTGTTGCATGAACAACAGGAAAAAAGCAAGTTGATGTCATGATAACATTAGACGATTAAGTCAATCTGAAGGAGGACTCTCTTTAAGGCGCCCTCTTGAAGATGCATGAGAAGTTGAGTAGTAGAAAGTTGTGGAACTATGTTGTTTGATTACAAATTTTTCACAGCTGATGTCAATGCACCACGAAAGCGTTTTTAGCGATAGCAACAGAAGTAATAGGGAGTTTCAAACAGCATAATTAGAATCGATGAATGGTCTGATATATTATGCAATAAACCCGAAGATTGCATTGGTTCAAAAAATGACATGATTGTTCATAGAAAGGTTGTAGAAGTGGTTGATCTTGAAGTGGAGCTGCTGCATAGCAGTTTTATTGTACATAGAATCAGAGATCATCGTTTCACCCATACCAGTATGAAACGGATGGTACTTACCAGTTCGAGAGTGAACCAGTATGCGGACCGTCCGAAATGGGGGCGATCCACACCAACTTATTAAGAAAATTAATTAATGTTTTTTCTGTTCCCCCGAATGTCAGCCCTCCACATGTTTCACCTCCCATTGCCACTCGTCACCATCATCCCCCATTACTAGTCGTGCACTGCCAACAGTTTCACATCCTTCTCCTCTTCGTCCTCTTTCTCTTCCTCCACTACTGCCTCTCCTCTCTCTTCCTCCCTCGTCTTCTTCCACTATCCCCTCTTCTTTCTTTCTCTTCCTCCTCTTATTCCTTCCTCCTTCCCCCGCTTCCTCTGAGTCATTGGTATGTATTGGTTGACCATGTCACCGGTCCAGTTGGGTCACTGATATGGGTTTGGTACCCGGAACGATGATCCTTACGTAGAATATGGATTTTTATTTGGACCTGATTGGATAAATCAGTTAAAATATCTACTCATTGATAAAGTAATTCAATTTTATTTGGACCTGATTTTTTTTTACTTTGATAAAGTGTTTTGTTTACCAGTCCTTGTTACATGCCCCTGAGCCTTGAAAATAGTTGAACATTGGATTTGATTATATATGGGAGAATTCAGTTGGTAGTTCGTTATGTCAACATCATCATTATGTAGGGAAGATCTATTAAGGTTCGCCTAATTGCTGGTGTCTTGTGCAGGTTATCTGAAGGAGAATCTTGTTGATGTCTACAGAACTGTAAGGTATTTTCTTGTATGCTATTTCCAGTGTTCGCTTGGTATTTTCTTGTATGCTATTTAACTGCTTTAATCGGATATATTGGATTCATGTGAGGGTCATAGTACTAAATGTTTTGATTCAATTTTGCAGCATTAGCCCTATGGGTTTGCAGTTTCTCTCATCTGCAAGTACAATTCATCACAGACCACTAGTTTTAGCATTAACAAGTGAGATGGCTGATGAGGAAGAGCATGGAAGTCAGAAGAATAAATTGGGAGATCTTCAAAATCCAGCTGTTCTAGCATGCGAAGGGCTCTCTGAGGTCTTTTCTCCATCCTTTCAACTTTATGCCTTTGTACATAGTTTAAGCTTTTTTTTGGGCTTCCTTGTCATAGTAAACAGAGAAAATATTCCTAAAAGTTTAAGGAAGTTAGACAAATGCTCTTGATTCTATGCTCCTATGCTTGTAAAATCACAGTTTTCCATCCAGCTGTATCAAGTGTTGTTTGTTTGATGCTTTATGGTAAGGCCTCTGATCTCTGGCAGATTGCATTTTTGAGTTGTGTTTGACCAAAAAAACTTGTCTGTTATTAGTAGTAAAAGATGAATTAATATTGCTCTTGTTGACTATACAGTTTAAGTTCTCAAATTGTAGTACTTCTGGTTTCCATTCATGATTAATGAGCTTCATGGCTTATGCTTTGATTGAACCATTATATTCTCTTTCTGGTTCTATATACGCCTTTGCCTTGGTTAACCTGCCACCTCAATTTCTAGCATGGTATAGTCAATTGCTGAACTAATTGCTTTATTCTTTCTGAGGACCCTCATTCTCATGGCAGGTTAGTCTCTTGCTTGAATTAAACAATGCCTAACAATGGTGTACCAAGTTCTTGTAGGGAAATGCTGAGTTACTAATAACATAACATGCTTGTGTAGTCTTTGGTTAATGTTCCTCTATTACATGCTTGTGTAGTCTTTGGTTAACCATATATTATATCAGGGATTCTAGGCATGCCTTGACCGGGAAATCAAATATTCACCAACCTTAGTCGAGTTTTATGTCTTTTTTTTTTGTCTTTATTATCTATAATAAAGTTATTTAGACCATGAAGTTTTTGTGTCTGATTTTTCATCCCACTCCTCCCTGATTTTCCCATCTATGAGAACTGTTTCTTTGGCCTTTTATGTCTCTTTGTGTTTTTTTTGTTATATCTTGTTTTATTCAAGATTTTATTTCTTCTGCAGTTGTCCTGTCAAAGAATTTGCAGCAATATAAATAGAAAATTTTGTAACCTTTCCAAATGCTAGTATTTAATTTTCAATTAGCTTGATTTAGTCATGCAAAGAAGCCATTGGCTTTCAAATTGTTGATTTGTATTATTTCACCTTTTGCTATTCTCCAGAAACCTTTGTGGTGATGGCCACACTGATGACTCTTCTTTAGTGTATTTATGAATATTCTAAGCTAAATAAGGTCTAAATGAAAGAGACTTGGGCTAATGTCAGACCGGTTCTAGGATTTAAATTTTCTTTTTGAACAAATAGACGCCCTAGATGTTTTAAATGATTTTGAAAAAAAAATCTGAGAGATTTAATAGGGTATGTGGGTGAGGGAGTTTGAGCAGGAGTAAAGAAAGGTAAAAAAGTGAGGGAAAGAGTTTAAAGCTGCCAAAGAGATCCCAGTGGATCCCTTTGGCTAGGGTCACTACCAAGGTATACTCACCACCTGGTCTAAATCCATTATCGGGCCGATACCAGATGATGAGGTCATTTTGTGGGGTTTACTTATACCAGACCTGAACCATCCGGTCGGGCTTGGTCCCCATCTTGACAGCCAACTGAAACTTAACGGTACCAGTCTGGTTAGTTTTGCAAACCATGAGCAGAACACCTATGCAGGGAGACTTATGGAACCTGTCCATCTTATTTTTATTTCATTGGATGTAGTATTTGAGAGGTATATAGGGAGATTGTGGTGGCTGCTTGCCGACTGTGAAATTCCATGTCATTGAAACCTAATAGTGGTTGTGAGGTTATGGCTCAGAAATTCACCGTGGTCAGAAATTTGCTTAAGTGTAATAAATGTTTATATGTTTTTGTTATGGGCACATGAAATTCTTATTTTCCCAAGAATTGGAATTGCAGACTAGCAGCCACCCTTTTTGTCAAGAATGCTCATCATCAGCAACCATTTTGTTGGCTAAGCTTTGGTTCTGATCTCATCTGCTTTACAAGTTGTTATAAGATGGTTCTGTTCCAAGAAATAAGTTCTTATTTCTTTTCAATAGTAATCATTAATTTAATGGTGTATTAAATTAATTTGCTGTGTATTAATGAGTTTCTTATAATTAGCTTACTTTATGTCCTGTGCTATAAATTGACTAAGGGTTATGCTGAAGCAATATCCTGAATTTCTCTTGCGATACTTATTTCTTCTTTCATATGTATGTCCAATAGAACACTAACATTTCAATTTCTAATTTTGTATTCTCCTCATTACGGATATAGCTGTCTGGAAATGTTAAGATTATAACTCTTTCCTCAGGCTGAGTCAAAACTGTTCTTTATGCTTTTGGATATCAGATTGGATCTTGCAAACCGTTATGGAACCGCTCCGTAAGTTATCCAGTTGATGATTATTGTAGTTTTACTTGTGTGATGTTATGGAAAGTTACTACAACATTTTCATCCTATACCATAGATATGCCATATGCGGTGACGAAACAATCAAAAGGTTGGCAAAAATGAGGCCATGTAACAGAGCAAGGTTGGCAAATATTGATGGTATAAACCAGGTATTCCAATACCATCTGGAGTAGTATTTGCTATTTATAAGACTCGATTCTTGTGATCTCGTACCAATCTTTAGAATCTCCTTCTAGCTTTTGCAATAAGAAAGTAGACATCCGCATTGTTTTGTTCTACACCATTTGCAACAGTCAGCAACACGTTGCAATCTATGCATCTAACTATTGGAAATTTGATTTTCTTCTAGTATTTGGACAAGCTCTGTTTGTTGCTTATGATGAGTGTGACAAGTGTGCACATGAGCAAAGGAACCCTAGATATTGGAAGCCTAGAAGCATGAACCCAACATGTGATGCAATATATCTCACCTGCTTCATGACATCTTCCTTTATTTTCATTAAATTTTAATGGATTAAACTGACATGAAGATGTGCATAAATGGAACAGTAAAATGTGATATTAGATTATATTGACAAACTTCTAGGTATAAGGGACATGTCCTCAGCACAATCAGCACAGCCAGCAAGACATAGTATGCTTCTTACTGTGCCATATATATGCAGATATGTATTTTGTGACATAATAAGAGTAGCTTATTGTTCTTGATAGTATGCTATTTCTCTGAGGTGCCTAAACCTAGATTTCCTTTCTGTAGCATTTTGTAACCAGGTATGGTGATGAATTTCTTACTAGCATCAGTAAATTTTCACAAGAACTGAACCTCCAAACAGATTATGAGGGAACTGCTCAAACTGCTACAATTAGAAAAGTAGGTGCAAACATAGAGAAAAGGGCAACTCCGGCCAAATTGGAAGCATGGAGATTGTGGCAGCATGATGGGCTTTCATTTCAGAAAATTGCTGTGAGTATATTTCTAGTGTTTAACAATCTTAAATATGTGTCCTTAATGAGCATAACTAACTTTGGTGTTTATATATTTCAGGAAATACCTCGAAACTCAGGTCCCATCAAAGAGCAGACAGTCATTTCGTATGTCCTTGATGCAGCAAGGGAGGGCTGTGAGCTTAATTGGTCTAGGTTTTGCAAGGAAACAGGACTAACTCTTGAGATTGTCTCACAAATTCATTGTGCCATCACAAGCGTTGGATCAAGATGTAAATTAAAGCCAATCAAGGAGGAATTACCTGAAAGTGTAAGGATTTTATCTTTGAGAACTGAATTATACAGGTTTCTTCTTGGTTTTTGATAATAAGAGAACTGTGTTGATGAGCATAAACCATTTTCAAGTCATCAGTTCCAAATTAAGCAGACTAATTTTTTACTTCAAAAGAGATTTAGTGGCCTGCTCATTATGCATGCAGGTGAGTTACGATAACATCAAGACCTGCCTGACAATGGATGAACTTGGTTTGTCAGCAGAAGAAATTATAGGTTGCAACTCCGTGTATGAAGCTCCCAACAAGATAATGGAATCGCCATCGCACTGCCCTTTTAAAAATGTCATTAGAAACAGAGCAGCCTCTAGTACTATTGCATCAGAGTCCGCTCCAACTTCTCCGTATCATTGTGAAACTCATTTGAAGCAGTCAAGGAGTGATGATGCCCTCGACCTAGAATCTTCTGCAAGAAAGTTGCCAAAAATTTGTGAGAACACACAGCATTGTACTGGTGATTTGGTGGCTACAGAGAATGCTGTTCTAGAGTGGGTCAGGGACCATGACGGGGTTAGTCTGTCCAAGTCTTCTCCAAATTCAAAGTGAAACTTATTTAGATGTTCAAAAATAATTCTGTACTGATATAAGATTCCACATTTTTTGCAGGTTTCTCTACTGGATATCGTAGAACACTTCAAAGGATCGAAGGAGGAATCTGTGCTTGACCTATTGAACCACCTCGAAGGCGAATTTGTAATATTCAAGAGAAATGATTTGTACAAAGTTATGTGAATCATAAAATTTTGTATTTTCTTAGTAGTAATTGGAGTTTTGAGAGACCATCTGATGATGCTTTGTGCATGTAGCAAGATGGATATGAAAGGGATATATATGCTCTGTATGTAGACAAAGTAACTGATCTTGTAATTATCGAGTTACTGCAAATCAAGATTTCTCTGGCTTCCCAAGGTCTGTAACAAGTAATTTTAATCATTATGCACGCTGCAAAAGGTGCTGAATGAGTTCTGACAACTCAAGACTGGTTTAGATTGATATTACACTGAATGGGATCATCAGTTTAAAAGCTCCTGGATGATTTGAAAGTTATTCAATGGTACGACCATCGTTCTTCTAGTGTTTGTTTTGATGAGTTCGTCTTAAAACGGAAGTCTTCTTGTGGGCTACAATCTCTTATCCGTGTTTTAATGAATATGGGGAGACGTCTCTGTTGAAAGAGGATAAATGCATCAAAAGGTTCTTCTGTAATCTCGAGTCGGAAACTCGATACGTCGTTCTCTCTCTCTCTCTCTCTCTCTCTCTCTCACACACACACACACACACACAGGCATGAAGAACTCTTCATCGTGGTGTGGAATTTGGATGGAAGGTCTGATCCTTTTCTGGTGGGTTACCACCCGCCTTTCATCGGAAGAAAGCCTAAAAGAATATTTTAATTTGTCGTAAAAGCTTTCCAGTGTTTGGTCGATTTATTCACACGACCGGTCACCAGATCCTAACAGGCACAGCGGTGCCTGTACGTTCAGGTAAGCTTACCTGACTCCATTCGGCCGATAAAGAGCCCCAAAAAAATTTAAACCCTGGAAAATTTGTCCGACTTCCGTGAACTTACAATGACCTGCGGTGAGCAGACCAAGATGCAGATGGTGTACGAGGTCTATCGGTGACTTGACCCAGCAGAGCGGGGGGGAGGGGGTGACTGTACTTCTAGGTAAGGTTACCTAGTTCCACGAGGTAGTTAAGGAGCCCCAAAAAAAAAATAAAACCAGGAAATTCGCCGAATTTCCGTTATCTTACTATGACTTGCGGTGAGCAGACCCAAGATGCAGATGGTGTACTATAGCCCACGGTGAGTGTAACTGTACAGCCACCCACCAGAGAGTAAATTCCAAAATGATTAATATCCAAAAGGAACAAACCTTTTGGATATTGACTCCAAAGCTTCAAGAAAGAAGAATGCCATGATTGTTTACAAACAAAAGGAGGTTGAGCAACAAGCTTATAGTGGTAATTGGCCAAAAGTGCTTACCTTGAAATATCATGTTCTTGTTCCCCACCTCAGCCCTATGTCTTGCAAGCATTGCACATGAGCCCTTGCATCAAGAAAAGATCCAATGACTTGTAAAACCATGGGAGCCACTTTTGCTTTTCGACTACAATCATATTCACAATGACTTTATAAGACCACATAACATGCACTAACGATGATTCAACACCACCCAAAATGTCACCCCCTACACCGCATGAGACCCAAACAAACATTTAACACCACCTAAACTGCCTCACCTTCGAGTTCCACTGAGCTCATAATAGGAATATCCCTAGAAAATAAGAGATGCAAAACAATTGAAACAAACATTAAATTTCCTTCTCATAAGTTATCCCTAATATAGAATAGTATAGAAGAACTGGAACAAGCATTAGAGTTCCTTATTCAGGATTTTCTTTAATGGCTGGAATGTGAGCAGTAGCCACTCACAGTTCAAACCTAACTGCAGCAAATTAGCCATGACAAATATAAAGAGAACATCATCTACTCAAAACTGCAAGGATGTTTTCTTTTGTTATTGCAAATGCTTTTCAAACTAGCCCAGACAATTTTCAAAATCCTGCATTGATGACTCGAAGACATTCTTCTCAGTGGACTATCTATCATAGCTTCAGCTTTACGGCCCAGAACAAAAGGCTCTTTAAAAATGATAAAAGAAGCCTCAACAAAGCAGGCCACCATGTTGACTGTCAATCCGTGACAATTTCCATAGTACATTAATGCCATCTCCTTGTCGAGAAGTAGATGGATCTTAATCTTAAAAAAGACGAAACAAAATGGAACCAGTAGATAATTCTAGACCATGTTGTCAAGACGAGGACATATACAACAAAAAATAATTTTACAAAAATATGAACATCGGCACCAATGGAAAACAAGCAGCATATAAGCAGGTTACAAGGGAAAAAGAAAAGGTAGTCAAAGCTCTGAAAGGATGGCAGGAATGTAGTGAGAAAGCTCAGCTGTAAGCGACTGGAACCCATTTACAAGCTGCGTATGGAAGTCCTGATCTTCTTCACCTATCAGTCTAAAGTGTACCCGGATTGCACGTTTGCAAACAGCCATAAATTCAAGCAACGCGGCAATGAGTTGCTGCAGTTCTTGCGACCGAAGCCTTGTAGCAGGTTCACCAGATAGAAAAGCTTTGCAAACACTTAAAACACCGCTGTTCACCTGTATCAAAAGGTCCAGAATACATCATCGAAAGGATTTGTCACGTGAGAAGAAAACTAAATATCAACAAACCAAAAATCTATACAATCAAAGCATACAGATTGAGACTAACATGACCTACTATAATTTATAGTGACCAGGAGACTTCAATCAATTCCTAACAAAACAAGTACTTTTACCTGTAGCAAAACAAGCAATCTATAATCTGTAGCAAAATAACTCGTTAAAGAAAAAATGTTTTACCTGCACAGCGACACTGCCTTGGAGTATCCTCTGTAGACTTTGAAGCCTCGGGAGATGGTCACCTTCCGAGCTACGAGGCTCTTCTAGCTCGTTTCTTAATGCCGCTGTCCTGGTTTCTATCATTCCAATTGCATTTTCTACAGGAGAGAACTCCAAGGATTCAGACTTGACAACCAAAAGCCTATTCACCAAAGCAGGAAATGAGCCCTCTGTTTGGAGCACTGTTCGTCTCTTCCACTGGTCCTCTAGGCCTCCTTGTGTCTTTCCATTTTTTGTAAATGGAGTATCAAACAAGAATCTGTCAAAAACTCGGGCACGTACGCTACCGGTAGACAGAGAGAAAATTCTCTCCCTTCTACTGCCAAGGTCTTCATCCTCCATAACAGGATCCACAGCTGTAATTTGTAGATAACAGACATCAGGCTGTAACTCTTCGGCATTGACTTGTCGAGAATCTGGTATGATATGCAGGGTATGACTGCCATCCATCCTGGACTCGTATATGTGGCTTAGTTTTTCCATTATGTCACCTAGACGAACATCTCGTGGCTCCCGGTATACATACTCCTTTCTATCTAGCTTTCCAAATCGATTTCCATAAAATCCAACTCGGTAATAGGTAGCATCTATAAAGGGTATCGGACTCGACTCTTGCTCAAGAATCGAGTCATAGATGCTTGCAAGGGATGTGTGGCATTTTGCGAGTTGGCCATATGCCCTTCTGCTTTTATGGACTGGAATTATAAGTTCCAAAATATTGGCACAAAAATGATAAAGCTCAGCTTGCGAGAAAAGCTTATTTGCTAGCTGAAGGTATTTAACTGCAGAATCAACAGTGAGCTTTGATGCACCATATCCTTCCACCTCAGCAGCAGATGCCTCAGCAGTAACTGCACTGCTGACCATTGGGCAGATCTTACGCAATGAAGCCACATGTTCTCTGTTCCAAACTGCATCATTCCTTCCAACAAGGGCCTAAAGACAGGGACAAGCCAGAGAGAACACAAAGATAATAACATGAAGCTGCATAAAGACAAATGAGGTTACACTTCAGAATCCTCACCTGCATAATGACACCAGCAACAGCTACTGCACATTGAGCTGCTTCTGCCCATGATTGCATCTCCTGATGAGCATCACACAGATGCAGTAACCACATAATGTGAAGATCAGGAACAGATGCATAAGCCATTGCAAGCTTATAATAGCTCTCGGCAGCTGCATATCTATCTACAGTCATAATAGAAGCCTGCAACCAATGAGAACTGCATGAAACCTAAAGATAGGACTTCAATAATCAGGAAGACAGGAACACAGTTTCAAAAAGCAATTCCAAGTTGTAATTAATGAATAGCAAAATATAAGCCCACTGTAAAGAGTAAGACTGGATAAAAATTTAAAGCGATAAAAAATATTTATTGTCCTGACTATCATTAAAATTTTGAAGTTAAAGAACAAAACTACACTATGAGACGAGTCAAAAGACATTGAAACACTTTATTCTTTTCCCATGTTCCCTCTGATGTTACAGAAACTTTACAGTATAACAAATGAATATTTGGTAACTTGAGCATCAAAATAATTCGAAAAAAACATTAACGTAAAACATTAACATACCACACATGTTTAACATGGGCAAGATATCCACATTAATTCTAGATGAAGCAAAATGTTAATTTCATAATAAGGTTCCATGCTAAAATAATACATATAAATTTTACCAGAAGTGCATGTTCAAGGCCTGCATCAAGTGCCTGAAGAAGACTGTCCGATAGATATTTGACCTCTGACCAAGACCAAATATTATCTGTTGAACATTCTGGAATTGCCTCAAGTGCATTGCCAGGAAGTCCACAATCATTTATTAGTTTTATGGTCGTACTTTGATCTGCCATTTCCTCCAGTGATTTTCTGAGTCGTCGAGCTTCGCCACTCTCTTCAAGAGAACCATTAGGCCTCATCTGACTTACTTGTACATCAGACATCAACTCTGACAAGGTGATTGTCAGCATGACCCTCAGCCGTGTTGTGTTCATGAAATAGTAAAATGAGTTCTGTAGGTAGAATGTAAATATTCATATTTTATACTTGATGCAAATTCTTCAGAAGATGTCATCTGAAAAAATCAACATCCTTACCCTAACAAGTATCTGCAGACCAAGGACAGCCCTTCTCCTGATGGAGTCATTGCGAAAAACTGCAAGCCGTAGGAGGTGAAATGCAACTTGCTTCAAGAAGCGATCATTGTCTCTTGCCATCAGTGTTGCACCATGAACACTGAATATATGGCTGAACACAGGAAAGAAAGCTTTCCAAAATGCCAATGATTGATACCGAGAAAAGAGGCCCATCAATATAGATGTGATACAATCTAGCTTTCCATAGTCAGTGGCAATGCTTTGAGATGCTGCAGCAACTGAGAACTTGTCAATAATCTTCAGAACCTGAAGGCTGATTGCAGTGCTCAAATTTTCTTCCCAAACTTCCTGCAATAAATTTGAAGGTGTAAAACCCATTCTGTGATTTTGGAATTGAGAGACATTAATTCAAGAACCTATGAGATGTACCAATTTTTGCCTCAGTATAGGATGGAGAGACTCTCTTAAAGCTCTGGTTGTAGCTCCAACTCTAGAAGATTGTGCTTGTGCAAGAGCTTCCCTTAAAGAATATGGTTGGTTAGGTGAGCTTAGCTGAGGACTGACTCTGTGCCACAAATATCCATTTTCAGGTGTCCCCTGAGGAAGCAACACATAGTCATAGAATTCAATGGTCAGAAAATAAGGCATCATCATTACTAGAAGATTAACTAAATTGGTCTTGACAGATATAGCACACATTGCTTATATTTGTCAGTGAGCTTTGTACAAGCCAATACTTTTTAAAATTTATGTGAAGTAATGTAATGTCCATAACTAAAATGAACTTTGTGAAGTAATACAAGACAACAATTAATTTTCATGAGTAGCAGTTATAAATGGAATGTTGCTAGATTCACTTGAGATCTTAAAAACTACATCAAAATTAAGCAGACCATAGCAATAAAGCATGTCCTTACAACATTCTGAGATTCAGATATCAACGTCAGATTGATCAGATGAGAAAGTAAAAAGGTAGGCATGAGAGTAAAACATAGGAAGTAGGCATTACAGATGACGTCAATTTCAAGCAACTAATATACTGTCAGTTTGCTGAGCTACAAAGACTGGCCTCAAAAGCTGCCTGGGCCAGACAACAACCTCAATGTCAGACATCAAGAAATCAGGAGAGAGAATTAGAAATGAAAACATCTGTTAGCAGTGGAGTCAGACAAAGAGAGAACTGTTCCACGCTTTCCTCTACCCGACTTCCCTCTACGAGAGAGCTAATACCCCAGAAGCCCATTCATTTCACCTTTCTTCCAATTTTTATCTCTCTTCTCTTCAGATGATAGTGTCCTTCATGCTTGTTAATTGTCCTTCATGCTTAGTAGTCGAACACACGACACTCAGGCTTGCATGTCAGTCTCACTGATTTTATGGTGGCATAAAATCAACCATACTCTTGAATCTGTCACCATTGATCTGTCAGTATAAAATACATTGTAAAGTAACCTACAATTAAACTTGCAAAGAACTACATTGACATAATCTTGGGCCTGTCACCATTAATCAGGGCTGGTTCAGAATAGTTACCTGTAGCCAAAATTCTACTTTACAACAAGAAGTTGACAAAAATGATAACTAATTTGTATGACCACACCCTTTGACTATACAAATGACTAATCTTTGACACGCTAAAACTTTCTTTGTGCAGTAAAATAATCAACAAAATCTGTGAAGGTCTATTTTAGGAGAGCTTGAGGAGATGAGTCAAAATTAAAACAACATAGTGCATGAAATTAACGAATAAATACTTATCGCTCAAGCTAGATACCAAATTAGAGAATATAAGGTGCATATTAACTGTGTAAAAGTGGGACATACTCTAACTTCTTGACGGGAAGCCTCAGAAAGATACGTATTAATTGCAGGGGAAAGACGATCAGAGTACTTTGGAGAAGCATGTCCTTCGTTGTCAGGGCTGCGTGAACTACATCCCAAAAGCAAGCTGTCTGCTGGCTTCTTATGCTACCAGATGAAACAATAAAAAGTGAAAAAAGTGGAATGATGCACATTACAACTAAACTCCCATCACCCACCCTCCAACCCAACCACAGGAAAGAGCTCAATGAAATAAATAACACCGGAAAAGAAGAAAAAGAAATCGATAGTTGTTTTCTTAAAAGAGCAAATGAGTGGAAAATTTACAAAGTAGGGAGGCTAAAAAACTTTGATAATGTTGGAATATAATTCTAAAGAAGCAGCCAGGCTAATTGAAAGATGGACAAGCATGTATCACATTCAAACAGCTACCAGCTCTTCTGAACAAGGAAAAAACAGTAATGTGGTATGTCTATAAATCGGGAGGGCTTAAAAAAATAGTGAAAATTTTGCAATGCGGCTGAAACGAGAGCTACTAGATCTTCCCATGACAAACTTATGCATGAGAAGATGCAATACGAACCTCAAAGTGCAAAAGACATTCTTCAAGGAGTTTGAAAAATAATCTGGTTCGAGCAATACTCTGTTGCCATGCTTTAACAAGTGATGGATCATCCAAATTCCTTACAATTTGCAAAATGACAATTAAGACCTCACGTTTTTCAACAGCATTTAAATTATAGAACACGGGCATCTCATCTAGTATCTGCAATATATAAAAGAAATGGTGTTATCACATTGGTGATCACAAATATGGCAAAGAAAAAGGCAAAGCCAGAGGATCATATTCTGCAGAAGCTTTTTCCTTTTATTTAGTAAAATTTTAACACAGAAAACATGAAACCATATACCTCAGCTATTAGAATTAAAATTCTTAACAATGCATGCATGTTGCTACTAGAAAGATTTATTTGTACCATTTGCAAAGCCTAATTCAAAATAGAGAAAGTACAACTTAATACAGAAATTGCTGTATTGTGAACATGATTGACCAATCACAAGGTAATTGCCAAGTAATCAAACAAAAATCATAGCTTCAAGATCATAAATGATTGAATAATCACTGCAAACACATGCACACATCAAATATCTTTGAACATTCACCCATGTAAAAAGTATGGTTTGCCTTACTAGTCCGTACCGATGTACCGACTAGCTATCGGTATGGTACATAACAAACTGTACCAAGCTATACCGAGCATAACAACACATGGTACATGAGAGCGTACCAATGTACCACCTATACCGGTCCCCTGTAGGGCTAATACATACCATCCATACCGAGTGGTACACTGCAGTACAGCAAAACTTAGTAAAAAGAACATAAAAATAATAGGTTACAAGTTGGACTTAAGATTTTCTCGATTTCGACATAAAAACTGCAGGTGGTTATCAGCATAGTCTATAATATCATACAACTGTCACTTCGGCGACATCAAATAAAATTAGAACGAGATGGAGAAGATAATATCATAAAACTAAGTATTAAGAGAAACAGGCAAAATCTAGAAAAAAATTTAAAAGAACCGATCCACAAACTGCCACAAGGGTTTTTTAAATGATTTCCAAGGATGGCAGTAGAGGTTGTTTTAGTTTTGTCATCAATAAAAGAGAAAAATAGACAAAAATCACCAAAGTGCTACAAGGGTTTTCAGACTAAAATTTCCCCTAAGGTTGACAGTAATAAATTCAAAAGTTATATTTTGCAATTATTAACAAGGTCGAAAAAGGGAATCAGGGTCCCATATTTTGTGTTATGCATGTGATTAACTATTCTTCTGGAACAGGTTCAACATCACTTTCCTTCACATAGAATACATACAAGCATTTATAATAAAACACACTGACACAAGTCATGTAACATTAGTCACTATGACAATTCAGCCGGTTTCATGCTTGTCAGTGGACTCTACGATGAGTGTTTTCTCATTACACATGGCTACGTTAAAATCAAATACAGAATATAGATAACTAGTGTCAGGTTTGTAACTTATAAAAAGTGCTCAACAAATATGGGCAATAAGAAAAATTTTCATTAGTACTAACACCGTGGCTATGTCCATAATTTGGGCCAAAACTGCCTTGACGATCAATAGATTAGGCTTCCCCTGGAACAACAGCATCAAGATTCACCTCTTCTTATTTAATAGGCTGAATAGCATGCACTACTCAGCGGATTCAGGTTTCTTGGGAGTAATCAGCGGATTCAGGTTTCTTGGGAGTAAAGTATCAGCTAGAGCACAGAATGGCTTCAATGATGTTGTGCTTGAAGAAAAACTAGGTACCCCCCTAAAGTAAATACAAGTTGGACCTGAAATACCTAAGCACAATTGGTTATCAGATCTAAACAACATGGCTTCATATATCAGTTGAACCAATACGTACCGACTGAAATTTACTGGTTCAACCCCAAACCAGTTCCAAACCATAGAGGTTGGCATCAATCAGTATTTAATCTTTTTACTTATTTCTGACATACAAGATAGTAAAGGTCAGTATGATATACACTAGTACCGTACTAGTCAACTGATAGCCGAAACCATGGATTGAAAAACCATGGAAGTTCATACTGACCAGTGTTTACCAGTCCTAGGCTCCTAGCGTGAACCAGGATATGGACTGCCCCTTTTCGGGTGTCCCAGTCCCCTTCTTTTTCACAATACCCTGTGCATAGGTTTTCTTAGTATCTTCTCACATGCTGCAGATGTGCAACTCCTCAGACACCACCTGCCTGCCACCTTCCATTGCCGCTGATATATCTTCAACACGTCATCCTCCGTCTCCTCTTTCCAATCAGAAATTTGGTACTTCAGTACATGCCAACCGAGTCATACTAGTTTAGCCATGGACTGATACAGATCCAGTACTAGAAATTACATTCCCTTGTCGAAATCATTATCACACTGGTATTCAAATTTTGCTACCTAAACTCCATAGATGCTCAGTTATATTCAAGTTATTGAAACATAATACATAAATTATTCTATTTATGAGTCAAAAGCAACCAAAAATTGCATATACTGACAAAGATGAATCTACAATGAGTAATTTTTTAACAGAGCAAAACACAGTGTTTAAACTCTATTCAAGCTTCTCAAGCAACAACCCTGAAGAAAAGCAATGAAAATTTTTTTTTGTCTCAAATAACACTATGCTTAACCATCAATGCAGTAACTAGTCCTGGACTAGGATACAAGTTTATCTAAAGAAGAAAAAACTACCCAAAATGGAGAAAATGGAACAAGAAAGTTTGGCCATTTACCCTACCTGACCAATTAGTGGGAAATATAACTGAGCTATATACAACTTATCCTCACTTTTTTGGTAACGAGAATCAAACTCATGCTTGCACATTAGGACCACCAAGATGCGAGCTGCCTATGTTGACCAATACAAAAGTTTTAGAAGTTCAACATTGTAAGGAGAACCTGTTAAATCATCCAAACACAATGCACAACATCCTACCTTTGCCCGTTGTGATAAATCATCGTGATCCAAGGTGAGGAATATTTCCTGAATTAAAACGGATGAGAGATAATTTCTGTTCAACAAAGAATTACGTGAGAACCATCCACCAACAAAGGCAAAATGTAACCTCTAGAAAGGGCACCTTGAATAAATTGTTCACATTTGAGAAAATTTTGACCTTAGCATATATTTCATTAGTAAGTAAAACAGAGAGAAAGGTTAAATCAGCTAAGAAAGTTCAAAGGAGAAATGGGCATAAAATCATAGAAACTATATAAATTTCAAATGCAATAACCAATCATGGTTATAATCATGGTGTTTGAAAATCTATCAAGATCACAATATGTCCCAAGCTTTTCAGAGATGGTTCATCATAGTTCATTAGCATATAACTTCTTATTCTGGGTAGAATCTCACATTTAACACATTCTGATTTTTCACAAGTTGGATAAAGTCTTGATACACATTACAGCCAACAATAAGAACATTTAACAATGGGACCAATGCATCTCTGTGCATCCATCAAAATCTGAGTAATTTTACTTATACTGTGTGTGCATTTGTGCAAAACACATACACATCTCGAAAAGTAATTTAAGTTGCAAAAATCAAAAGGGACACTGATAAAATCATAAAAACAAGAACCTATTCCAAAATGTTCATTTGGGATTTCTACAATTTTTTGCATTAGTGCCAAAAACAAATGCATAGTTATTTTAATTTCCAGAAAGATATTTATAAAAGACACGCCCCTAGCATTAGCATTCTTCTGAATATAAAGCATAAAAAATGTTAGCAGTACTATAGACGAATTAGGATTCAACATGTTAACTGCATTAACGACTATAATTACTAATTGGACAAAAACAGCTTCCAAATCTACCTATCTGAAGGATCTCTCCCAGGCATTTCCACAAAGAGATCATGATCACATATTATTTGCAAGAAGGTCAGTTTGCAATCATGCAAAACTGATTGGCAAACCCCAGCAAACTTGTCCATATACAATGAAACCTGGAAAAAAAGATCATCAGCCTAGATTCTAAAAAGCTTAGCTTGTCTATCTCAATATATGTCACAGCAAACAGAGTATAGATATCAGAAACAAGTTATAGCACGTCCATTTCAAGGAGCTACTCATGTACAACTTTTGGCCTTTTAACAAAAAAAAACCTATATTTAATAAAGCGAACCTTGCAACAAATTATGGAGATAAGATATGCATGAGAAAAATAAAGAAATAAACAAACATCATCTAGAATGTCCTACATAAAAGACTACAAGTCACCGGTAAATAATCAATTGCAGAAAGAAAGTGATTCAATGGTGGTCGAGCAAAGGAAATTGTAAGGCAAGAAAAGATTTAGGCCCTAAAAGATAGATTGATTTAAGCAAAATAAATTTAGTGAGAATAAAAAGGAAAACAAAAAAGTGAGAAGATGACTTTCCTTGCACTTTGTACAGGAATGCATTTCTTTAAATGTAATTATGTATTAAGCATTTCAAATTCCTATAATTTCCCTTTCATAGATATAATAGTGGATATATTTTCTATTAATTAGGAGTCAGGACTCCTCGTGATAAAGAAAAAGAGAAAACATTTACACTGCACGTAGCTTTTTCTATCATCTAAATTAATGAAAATAATCCAACATAACAGGACTCCTTCTATGGCAAGAGACAGATGCTGAGTTTCCATTCAATCATACACCATACTTGAGTTCATTTAGGACTCTTAGGGTCTATTTTCTTTGATAAAAGTCAAAGTGACCTAAACTTAACTTTTGTGAAACACAAGTTGTGTTTATATGATAGGAAGTCAGATTTCCTGAATTAAAGTTACAAACAGATTCAAAGTTTGTTATGGCACAAGAGAAAATGAGACTGTGTTTACACATTGCTTTCACTTTCTTGTAAGTAAAAACCTTTCTGTACAAAGTCAAAATTGGATAGTCATGTCTTTGAAGATGTGCAGTTTCATTAATATATGTCTCTTTCACAAATAACAAACGTTAGTAGATGCCAGTTCAGGTATAAGACCACACTGAAAGGGGCACTTTCATCAACAAATGGAACTAAAACTGCACTAAACTTGGGTCGTATCTAATAGATAACTGAGTTAAATATCATCTTGTGATGCTCTGGTATAGCTTTTGGACATTTTAACAATATTTACAACAACAATATCTCTCTTTCTTTCTTTCTTTCCACCATCAAAATTTTGCTTGGGAGGCTTCTACTTCTGTCATAATGAAGTAACCCCAGTTAAGAGATGAAATCCCTAAAAAAACCGCTACATAACTTGAGACCTTTGGGCAGGCTTCCAGAGTACTCAATTGTTCCAGCAACACCCATGTTTCCCACTGTTTGCCATGGTAGCATGTATTTCCTTTTTCCTGTTTCTAATAATCTGTTTCTATTATATTTGAAGGCATTTTTTAATAACTTCATTAGTATAATGGACTTCAATAAAATGTTCCCGACTTCTCACACCTTCAAGCTTGATTAATTTTCTTCATTCACAAACATAACTTTTTAGCAATATGTATATGAAACAGAAACGGCCTTGCAACAGCCTGAAAAATGTCAATGATATCAACTATATTCCAAGAAAAATGTCAATGATATCAACTATAGAATAAGATATGCTTTAAAAAACAAATCCTATCAAGGAACTGCAAAGTATAAGATAACATACCAGTTCAAAAACTTGGCGTGGCTCAATGATCGACAACAGATCATAACAAAAGAAAGCCAGACTACTATTCAAGCGTTTAGCTAAGCTTAAACCCTTCTTGCACCGTTCATGAACCTCTGTTAGAAGGCAATCATAAAGCTGCATGATACATCGGAATACACCTTCCTTTAACTGCAATGGTGGAATGTCTTCACCTAGAGGAAAGGAATCATAAAGTAAAAATAAATACAAGTGAATAACACTAAACTCAAAACTCAAAAGTGAACTGCTTGTCACATACATCTCCATCAACATTGATATTGAAACCTTTAATGCAATAAAGTGAACGGATTATATCTAACTTTGAAAGAAAAAATGTGAAAATATTGTTGCAGTCTCAAGAATATATGTAAAATTTGAGTTTGAAGAATTATTTAATGCTTCTCGGTGGCAAAAAAACAGTTTTCCATTTTTGTGCAAAAGTTGTACGAAGACAGCCGAACAAGAATCACTAGATGCTTTTTTTTTTTTCAAATGAATACCACCTATATCATTATTGTACCTGAAGGAAGACTGTGGTAAAAGAGACGATTTTGTTCTAATGCCATTGACTTTACAATCAACTCCAAAAAGAACCATGCCATTGCCAAGACATCATCATAAACAGGCCCGACTCTATATCCCTTGGCCTGTCAAACAATAAACAAGAGAATTCATAAATTAATAAAGATTAAATGAAGCATTATACTAATCTCACAAAAAAGTGCATCCAAAGCATAATTACAATCAAGGATTTTAATTTCAAATGATATCGCTCGTATCAGGCGGTAGCGGTCGATTTTGACCGTCGCCACCCACTACGGGACGGTATCAGCGTAGCTGCGGTGAGGGAAGAAGAAGCGTCGAGGGAGTAGGCGCTCGGAGAAGAGGGAGAATCGGGAGAACCATGACGCTTCCCGATCCAACGCCGCCTTCCTCGACGATCTCGATCTAGGAGGTAACGAAGAGGTGACAGCTCGGCTTCTTCTTCGCCGCATTCTTCGTCGAAGGCCGAAGACGTCCGCGGCCTTCAACATCTTCGTCGAATGCCGCAAGTGAGGAGAAGATCACGTTCTTCTCCTTGTTTGACGCGACAAGGAGAAGAAAAAGAGGCGACGTCACCAAGGCAACGTACACCTCCTTTTTCTTATTTTTATATTTTTTATATTCATATATTGAATTTTATATTATATTATATATATATATATATATATATATATATATATATATATATATATACACACACACACACACGTACCGAGCGATATACCCTAGCATACGCTCGGTACGCTCGTATCGTACTGTGCCGAGCAAAGCTTGAAACGTTGGTATGATATGAAATTACGAACCTTGCTTAGTACAATTGATGGGTATGATTGTTGTACTATCAATTTAGCAATAGTCCTTCGTGAGACAAAATGTCTAAATAATTTCATAATGGCAACATAGGTAGAACTTGGTAGGACATTTTTCCAATGACTTAGAAAAGTAGAAGGCAAGTGATGTAGCACAAGTTTGTGACAAGTAGAGAAATTGTATTCTTTTTTATTTGAAAATAGAAGGAGGAAAGACTGACGAAGGGAAAGATAATAATAAAAAAATATAATGTATTATTGAAGGCTTTATACCTCCATACATCTTACATGTGGGCGATAAAATCCAATGATAAAACAAAATATGACCACATAGATTCACATATGATTTGAAAAAGAACTCGTTTTTCATTTATTGATTTATCTTCCAGATATAATGTGTAAAATAATCTTTCTTTTTTTATGATAATTCGTTTTCTCAAATAATGAAAATTTCTTATATAGATAAAATCTTCAATCAAGATCTTTTAATTTTCAATGAAAAATCAAATTTGTTGAAGATGTTGCCATGTGACAACTTATAACATTAGTATAGTTGGCTCTAAACTAACACAATGAAATTTAAATTAGAAATATATTAAAATGATAATGCATTACAAAGACTTCAAATGAAATAATGGAAAATTTTGTTCCTTCGCTTTTAACCCTTTGCTTCAGTACAAGATTACAAAAGTAAAGGAACTTATATATCATTCAAGTCGAGCTATATGTTATCTCTTTTGGCACATTTTTTCATGGCGACTCTTTGCTTTTCAATAGGTTTCATCAAATGATGCTCATTCATGGATGAGTGATTTGACTTGATTTTTTCATGTTGGCAGATGGATTAGGAACTAAGATCAATGAAGATGGGATTGCTTATTATAACAATCTGATCAATTACCTACTTGAAAAAGGTTGTTGATAATCCATTTGTGCCTTCAAATAATCATCAAGAGCCACATTTATATGTTCTCAAATGCAGGTATACAGCCTTATGTTACACTATATCATTGGGATCTTCCATATTTTCTTCATGAATCAATGGGGGGATGGCTGTCGGAGAAGATTGTGTAAGTTGTCTATGTTTAGAATTTCTAAGAGATTATGTGACAGATGTTTCTCAGCATCAAGTTCCTTTTTCTACTAAACAAGTTATTCCATAGAACTGTCAAAAAAGTAATTGATCATAGGCATAGAAATATATCCAAATTTCTCGAGCTTCAAGCAAGCTTATTCTATGAAATGGAAAGAAAAGTACTAATGTAAGGGATGTTTTATCTTTTATGTACCTTCTGAAGTGTAAATTATCATGTTTGAGCTCTCCATCTGTATTCCAGATAACTAGTTCATGTTGATTTGCATAGTTTATTATATTTAATCTTTCAGAATTGCTAGTACGTAGAGCCTTGAAACAGAAAAGTTATCAGAAAAAGTAACCTCCATGTCCTAGGATCATTGTCTAACCTGCTCTACCAGCTAATTAATGGTACTAAGGGCATTTGTTAAGTTGGACTTGGCCTGGAATACTTCAATTTAACATGAGGTTGCTTTGGAGGTAGGCTGAGCTAGTATGAGAGTTCTGCATGTCAAGTGAAACTCAATGAGCATGTATTGATCCCTTTGTGCTGTCTAAATACAGTTGTTACATTATAAATTGAAAAGCATATGCCTTAAATGGCATTCAAGTGGAAGGTGAGGTGAACTATTATTATTTGCTTGCTTTTCTTGTTGTGTGCACTTTCCATTTACTACTTGTAACGTATTGCTATCTAGAAAATATTTGATCTATTTACTCTTGTTTAAGAAAGTAAAAGTGGCTCATTTTTTTAGCTCACAAAAGGGCTATTTTTGTTGGCTTCAAGGTTTACCTTATTGGTCCAAACCGGTGTACTAGCTAGCTTGCGGTATGGTACCTACCGTCCTATACCGGTGTAGTGTGTGTCGGTATGACGAGGTGTATCAATAGGCCGACGACACAAGAAATAGCAAAAAATAGCTCCAAAAATTCTAAAAAAATAAAAAAATAAATTATGGATTTTAAGTTGGAAATAAATATAAATTTAGTATAAATTTAGCAAAAATAATCTAAATTAGTAAATAATAGTGACACATTTTTTTCGAGCTTTGAGGAGTAGCTTTGTGGTATGTTCCGAATTATCCTTTTGTTAATATTGAATTATCTACAGAGAAATGATTTGAATTGTTGGATTATTTGTTAAACAAATTAAATATTATGATTCAAATGAATCAAATAATTGATCGATAGATATACTTGGTTCTACCACCAAGAAAAACGATGGGACTCCACGGGTGATGGATCGGGGTCCTTGATCCTATATATTTATATAACAATTTAATATGTTTGTTGGGCTTTATCCTGAAATTGATCCCATGACATAGTATACTAATACACTATATATCATTGGTGCATCAATATGATGATGGTCGTAGTTTGATTATCGTGAACCACATGTGTCTAAGGTGTCTCTTAAGGCAAGTACGATTAAGACATGTATTGGTGCGAAGGTTGGAAAATGCCAAAACTTCTACTTTCGCCACTAATCTGCTACTTGATATCATAAGATCGATCATCGTATTATTGCTCAAAGAATAATGACCAACTATCACTGTACTACTGTTGATTACTGTATTATTTTTCGGGTATGATCCTAAGTGCCGTCATGTGTCTATACCTTTGGTGTCATGTTTTTACCAAAATTGAATCAAATAAGCAAGCTGCGATTAACCCTAATTTCAAATAACAAGCTGCGATTATATATGATGAATCCTATATTGCCACTATAGACATATCAATTAACCTATTTGTTATTAAATACATATAATTAACTAAATATAGGTTAAATTATGATGAATTCATAATTAAATACACTAATCACAGCATTAGAAACACTAATTACTCATTAATTAGCCTTTTTTACCACAGTAGACATGTCAAATAATAATAATTATTACATACATAAAATTGACCCAATAATACATAAAATAATGATGAATTTATCATTAAATACACTGATTACAGTATTAAAAACTTAATTAAACCCTAATTAGCCCTATTTTACTACTATAAATATGTTAAACACCCTAAGAGACATTAAATACATAAATTAGATCCAATATATATCAAATTACGATGAAACATCATTAAATACACTAATCACAGTATTAACATAGTTAATGACTCCCTAATTATTCTTCTTTCACTATTATAAACATCTCAAACACTCTAATAGACATTAAAGACATTTAATTGATCCAATATGGGTCAAATTTGATTAAATCAACATTAAATACATGAATCACAGCATTAACATAGTTAATTAATTCTTAATTTGTCTTCTTTCTAAACATGTCAAATCCCCTAATAGGTATTAAAGACAATGAATTGACACAATATGGATCAAATTTGGATTAAATCATTATTAAAACCACTAATCACAACATTAAAAAACTTAATTAAAACCTAATTAAACCTATTATACTATCACAAACATGTAAATCACATTAATATGTATGAAATACAAAGATTTGACCCATTAAGTGTATAATTTCAAAAAAAAATCAGCATTAAACATACTAATCACAACATTAAATGCCTTAATTACTCCTTTATCATCATTATTCTATCCAAGATATGCAGTTTCGAATAATACCGTCCGTACCGGGCGGTACGTACCGATCCATTAGCTGACCGGTACACGGACCGCCCGTTACCGGATGGTGTATATATATATATATATATATATATATATATATATATACCGAGCGGTATACCGTTCGGTATATTGTATCGTACCGTACCGAGCGAATGTTGAAACATCGGTATGATACAATATTACAAACCTTGATTCTATCATCATAAAAACCTCAAAGAACATACTAGATATTGAGAACATAGAACATGCTTATTCATCTCATAAATTATCAAAAATCGAGAAAAAATACATACCTTTGATTAGAGAGTTTTTGCTCTAACTTAGGTGTTAATCCTCCCTAATTAGCTTTCTAAGCTTGATCTAAGTAATAAATTAACAATTTTGTGAAGCTCTAAAAGAGTGCAAATGTGAGAATGAGAGAAAGAAGTGAGTGAGAAAGAGATTGAGAGAGTAGGGGAGTTTAAGAGAGTGAAAGGAGGTGAAAGAGGAGGAAAAGGTTTAAAAACCCTTTCAAATGGATCTGACTATTGGAACTAATCATATATGAGCCGTCCATCGGTACTGGTCAAAATCCAATCGGTAACGATCGGATTTTGATTGTTCTAATCGGGATAGACCTTGTATTGGGTGATATGGGGTCATTTAGCATATATCACCTGGTATAGGTTGGTCCATGTGTCGGTCCCTATCAGATCGATATGTACCACCCATACTAGGTGGTATACCACGACATGACAAACCTTAGTTGGCTTATTTATGTTCAAAGGAATGGCTATGTGAATAAGTTTATTGCATTTGACTGATAGATATAATCTCGATATCCAATGTTTTGCTTCTCTGCATTCTCTTTTCTGCTTTAATATTTTTACAGAGAAGCTAAAGCTAAATGTATCTCTTGTTTTTCATCCCCTACATTAATGCTTATCAATATTCTTTTCTCTTTTTCTGCCTAAATTTCTGTCAGAAAACTGAAGACGAGTTAACATATGCAAAAACTTGCTGACAAATAATCTTCTAATATCTACTTAATGCCATTTTATGTATAAACACCTAATATAATTATTGTGGAGAAAATATAGTAAATGACATTATGTCTACATGAAAATTCTGATAAATATTTGCTGCCACAGTATTGGAATTTTGAAATTAACTGTTAAATCAAATAGTGTTCTTTTTATGATTTCTAGTATTTACAAATTTAATCAGTTAATATGGATTGAATTTCACTGTGGAATTACAAAACATCAAGACCTCGGTAATTTGATAATTTATCATAATTGACAGGCAATATTTTGCACTATATGCTGAAGCATGTTTTGAGAAGTTTGGAGACAGAGTGAAGCACTGGATTACAATCAACGAACCACGTCAAACAGCTGTGAATGGATATGGTTATGGTTTCTTTGCTCCTGGAAGATGTGAAAATTCATCTGCGGAACCTTATTTGGCTGCTCATCACCAACTTTTGGCTCATGCAGCTGCTGTTGCTGTATACAGGAAGAAATATAAGGTGTGATCTCTGATCAGTATACCTGCATTTCTTGGAGAAATATTTGTTTCTTGGATAAGCATTTAACATGTTTTGACTACATGTGTAAAACTGAAGCACTTAACAGGATTTAATACCATTCTTCAGTGGTAGAAAATAGTGACATGAATTCTTTCTTGGTATTAGTGATTCTGTTGCATAATCTTACAATATGAGTTTAATAGCCTTTACTTGTTCCAGGATGCTCAAGGTGGTGTAATTGGCCTGACAATTGATTGTGAATGGGCAGAGCCATTTTCTGACAAGTTGGAAGATAAAATTGCTGCTGATACGTGGCTGGACTTTCAACTTGGATGGTAAGTTTTCTTCAGTTCCTTTTGGGTATTAAATATTTTCAGATAGACTTGCCTCTTTGGATTGTTTTTGTTATAAAACCCAAATAGGAATCACCTCTGTTATCCTGTGCTGGAGCTTCCTTATTGTGAAATGCTGAAGTTTGTTGCTGAAATTTTCTGTTGATACTTATGCTAAGATTCATTAAATCTCTATTGTTTCTAATAAAGATTAAGTAATAGGAAAAAATTATTACAAGCAATAAAATGATATTTGCTGGATTATAGTGTGATTCATATCTTGTCGTAAGTTGAGATCACTTGCAGGAAGAGATGTGTATCGCCAACCCCAAATATTTATCCTCTTATGATTGCTTGTTGTTATGCTCTATTATGTTTGCATCTAGAGACAACACTTTCGTGTTTGGACCTTATAATCCCAAAATTAGGCATCTTGAATGTCTCTAGTAACATCACCAATGTTGGTCCCATGCCTGGATGAAAAAGGTGGAGGGTTGCATTAGGTCACTAACAACCAACATAAAACAATGTCAGATCTCATGAACATATATTTTAATCGATTTCAGTATAGAGCTAGGTCATCACCCCGGGAATGATGCAAGACTCTTTCAATCCCTAGATATCCTGAATTAAAAAGGGTGGGCTAGGAGGTCGCCTGGAAATGACCCATCACATTGGTGCCCGGATGTGGTGCTAAGTAGGCAAGAGTTCTCATATTGTTTTGGGCTAATGAGAGTAAAAAAGTTGGTCTAAGAACTGAGGATTAGGCTAACAACTTGGAATATAGAAACACTTACAGAGAAGGAATTCGAATTGGTGGACACTATGACCAAAAGAAAAATAAATATTATTTGCTTACAAGAGACTAAGTGGATAGGAGAAAAATTTAGAGAGATTGATAGTACTGAATTTAAAATTTGATATATTAAAAAGTTAAAGCATAGAAATGATATAGGAATTGTTATTAATAAGGATCTTAAAAATAATGTTCTAAATGTAAAAAGATTTGAAGATAGAATTATAGTTCTAATATTTATGAAAGGACAAGATATTTTGAATTTCATTAATGCTTAGGCTCCTCAAGTCGGACTGGATAATCAAACTAAAAAAGAATTTTAAGAAAACTTAGGTGATATCATTCAACCAAAAAACTTATAATTGGATGAGATTTGAATGATCATGTAGGAAAAACATATGATGAAAATAAAGGGGTGCATGAGGGCTTTGGTTATTGAGAGAAACGTTGGTGGTATGATTTTAGATTTTATAACTTCATATAATTTTATAATTATAAATGCTCACTTTAAGAAGAGAGATGAATATTTAATTACTTATAAAAGTGGCCACAATTGTAGTCAAATAGACTTTTTTCTCACTAGAAAGGTAGATAAAGTTAATTTTAAGAATTGTAAAATTATACTTGACAAAAGTTTGATGAATCAACATAGCTGATCGTATTAGATATCTACTATAGGAAATGGAAGAAGCCAAAGATAGTCAAAGAATTATTAAGACTAGATGGTGGAATTTTAAAGATGATAATGTAAATACTAGTAAGAATAAGATGGAAATGGAAGCGACTTAGAACTTAGATGAGAATGATATTAATATTATTTGAACAACGATGACTAATAAGATTAGGAGCTTAACAAAGGAGATTCTTGGTGAAACTAAACATAGAGGTGTAACTTTAAAAGAGAGTTGGTGGTGGTGCGAATAAATTCAAAAAATAATTTTTACTAAACGATCATGTTTTAAAGATTGAAAAATTATAAAAATGAGAAAAAAATTAAAAGATATAAAGAATCTAAGAAAGAGGCTAAAAAAGCGATTAATATGGTAAGATATAAAATTTATGATAATTTTTATAACAAATTAGGTACTAAAGATGGTAAAAAAGATATATATCAAATTTCTAAAGCTAGGGAAAAAAGGTATGAGGATATAGGTAATATTAGATGCATTAAAGATGAAAATCAAAGAATACCTATTAATGATAATGAGATTTAAGGAAAGATGAAAAATTATATTTATAAATTATTTAATGAATATTCTACATAGGACTTAGATTTAGCGATAAATAATAGTGGTAGATTTAATAATCATAGATTTATTCGTAAAATTAGAACTAATGAAGTAAAAGACACATTAAATAAGATAAAAAATAGCTAAGAATGTGGGGCCTGATGGTGTCTGTATTGAGGTTTGAAAAAGTTTAGGGTACAAAAGAGTAGCTTGGTTAATTAGGTTATTTAACAAAATTATAAGACTCAGAAGAATGCTTGATGAATGAAAAAAAAGTTTTCTAGTGCCAATTTACAAAACTAAAGATGACATATAGAATTGTTTAAATTATAGAAGAATTAAAATCATGAGTCATACTATGAAATTTTAGGAAAGAATTATCGTAAGTAGAATAAGGCTTAAAATAAATATCTCTGAAAATCAATTTGGTTTTATGCTTGGAAGATCAACCATAATTAATAAACAAGTATAGGGAGAGAAAAAAAAGATTTGCATATAGTTTTTACTTTTTATTGACTTAGAGAAAGCTTATGATAGAGTTTCTAGAGACTTACTTACTATGGTAAGTTTTAGAAAAAAAAATTAAACAAAAAAAAGTTTTAGAAAAGAAAGGTGTATCCACTAATTATATTGATATTGTTAAAGATATATTTGATAATATAGTTATTAGTGTTAGAATTATAGAGAGTGTATCTAGTAAGTTTCCTATTAGCATAAGATTACACTAAGGATCCACTTTAAATCCTTGCCTTTTCTTATTGATAATGGATGAACATATTAGTCATTTACATGATTTTACTCCCCGGTATATACTATTTGCTAATGATATTATCTTAGTTGTTGAATGCCTAAGTGAAATTAGTTATAAACTTGAGCTATGGAGACAAGCTTTAGAATCTAAAAGTTTTAGATTAAGTAGGACTAAAATTAAATATATAAAATGCAATGTTAGTGATCCTAGAAATAGATAAGAGAATATTATTAAATTGGATGGACAAGAAGTCTCTTTAAGTAAAAGCTCTAGGTATCTTGAATCAATTATTCAACAAGATGAAGAGCTCGATAAAGATATTATTCATATTTCATAGAGTAAAAACTGGATAGTTAAAATGACGAGGAGCGTCAGGATTCTTGTGTGATCATTGGATACCTTTGAGATTAAAAGAAAAATTTTATAAGACAGTTGTGAGACTAACAATACTTTATGTCTCTGAGTGTTGGACAGTTAAAAAAAAACATATACAAAAAATTTGTGTTACTGAGATAAGAATGCTAAAAATGGATATGTGAAGTTACTAGGAAAGATAGAAAATGAAATATTTTGATTTGTGAATAACTAGTATCGTTTCGATAGAGGATAAGATGAGAACAAGTCATTTAAGATGATCTGAGCACGTGCTAAGGAGATCTCTTGATGTGATAGTTAGAAGAGGTACAATAATTAATATTAGTAGTATGAGGAGAGATAGAGAAAGACCTTAATAGAAATTACAAATAAAGATTTAAGTACTCTGAACTTAACTAAACATATTGCTTTTTACAGACCTCAATAGTAACAAAAGATCCATGTAGCCGACCCCAAATAGTTGGAACTTATAGTTTTGTTATTGTGTTTATTGTTAATGCCTCTAGGCATATAAAGCTTTGTTGTTAATGATTTATTGTGCTAGCTTTGTTGCTTCATTCTAACTTACATTAACAATAACAATGTTATAACTCATACCTATATAGGCCTTCCATGTTATCCATGTTAAAAGCTATGATTTATTAATTACTTAATTAATTAGTTCTTAAGCATTGTTGTATTCACTACAGTTTTCATGTTCTCAATTGAACCCACTACAGTAAAGAATTATGGAAATTTTGATATATAATAACCAATATTTATCTAAATGGAAGTTACAGGAATTTTTTAGTAAATTTTCATTTAACTTTGCGTTATTAATCTATTATTCCATATCGGTGTATGTTATATGTATGGACTTATTGTCATATATATATATATATATATATATATATATATATATATATATATATATATATATATATATATATATATATATA